GGAGGGGGCGCCCCCGGATCCTCTACTCCCTTCCCTCGGCCGTCTGCTCATTGTGACGGCGGCCCACACCGAGAGTCATCATTGTCACAGCCAGCGGATAGTAACATTGTTTCCAGTCTTCTGGATTCAATACTTTGTCACTGACCTGGAACATGTGTGCAGCTTGTAGGTCCGACGTCACTGGCAGCATGCTTGCTCCGGGCCAGTGACTCAGATGGTGTTGAAGCCATGAAACCGGCATGATAGCCAGGCAACTAGGAGGTCATCAATGGCAGACTTATCTAAACCCAAGAACCCCTATCAGTCCTTAGATGTGGTGGCTGCCTTAGTCTTCTTTATTCAGGTGTTCTTTTTCACCTATTGATCCTGCCACACACACTTCCTGTCCTAGGGTGACCACGCTCAATCACTGCACTGTATCTATGGAGGAGGAGCATTGGGTGACCACGCTCAATCACTGCACTGTATCTATGGAGGAGGAGCATTGGGTGACAACGCTCAATCACTGCGCTGTATCTGTGGAGGAGCAGCATTGGGTGACAACGCTCAATCACTGCGCTGTATCTGTGGAGGAGCAGCATTGGGTGACAACGCTCAATCACTGCACTGTATCTATGGAGGAACAGCATTGGGTGACAACGCTCAATCACTGCACTGTCCCTATGGAGGAGGAGCATTGGGTGACAACGCTCAATCACTGCACTGTATCTGTGGAGGAGCAGCATTGGGTGACAACACTCACTCACTGCACTGTATCTATGGAGGAGCACCATTGGGTGACAACGCTCAATCACTGCACTGTATCTGTGGAGGAGCAGCATTGGGTGACAACGCTCAATCACTGCACTGTATCTATGGAGGAGGATCCTAGGGTGACCACGCTCAATCACTGCACTGTATCTATGGAGGAGGAGCATTGGGTGACCACGCTCAATCACTGCACTGTATCTATGGAGGAGGAGCATTGGGTGACAACGCTCAATCACTGCGCTGTATCTGTGGAGGAGCAGCATTGGGTGACAACGCTCAATCACTGCACTGTATCTATGGAGGAACAGCATTGGGTGACAACGCTCAATCACTGCACTGTCCCTATGGAGGAGGAGCATTGGGTGACAACGCTCAATCACTGCACTGTATCTGTGGAGGAGCAGCATTGGGTGACAACACTCATTCACTGCACTGTATCTATGGAGGAGCACCATTGGGTGACAACGCTCAATCACTGCACTGTATCTGTGGAGGAGCAGCATTGGGTGACAACGCTCAATCACTGCACTGTATCTATGGAGGAGGAGCATTGGGTGACAACGCTCAATCACTGCACTGTATCTGTGGAGGAGCAGCATTGGGTGACAACACTCACTCACTGCACTGTATCTATGGAGGAGCACCATTGGGTGACAACGCTCAATCACTGCACTGTATCTGTGGAGGAGCAGCATTGGGTGACAACGCTCAATCACTGCACTGTATCTATGGAGGAGCACCATTGTGTGACAACGCTCAATCACTGCACTGTATCTGTGGAGGAGCAGCATTGGGTGACAACGCTCAATCACTGCACTGTATCTATGGAGGAGCAGCGTTGGGTGACAACGCTCAATCACTGCACTGTCCCTATGGAGGAGCAGTGTTGTCACCTTGTGGCAGGGGTGGATAAAGTAATACGGAATTCAGGACCAAAGCTCCTTTGACAACAAATTGAAAACCTCAAAAGTTGGGGGCCAGCTGTCATTTTGAAGGAGCAATGGCCACCTGGATCAGGACAGATATTGTGGCAGGACTACAACTACCACCTCCTCTTCTCTTCTCCATTACATGAGGAGGAGGTTTTTGATGATTACATTGATGGTGATCACAGGGAGTGACGAGGACACTGGATTTCTGGTAGGATCAATGGGTGTTCTTCTGTACTTGCTGAAAATTGTTCTAAGCGCATAAAAGGAAAACGAATGCAGCCGCCACATGTCAGGGCTGCTGAGCTGCAATGTATTCTTTTTTCTTCTTCTTGGGTTTAGATCTATTTTAACCCCTTAGTCTTCCCTTTGCTCGGTCCTATTCCCGTGTCTCCGTCGGCCGCGCACGCGGTTCGGACACGGAGCATTTCATGGATTTTGTCGGCATTTTTGCACAACAGACGGGACATTGTGCGCGCGTCGTGTCGGCAGATAAAAGCCGCCTTTGTCGGAGCGTTCTGACTCCGTAACTTTATATTAAGTTATAGAAGGCGGCTTCCTTTGAAGTGAATTT